CAGCTGCATGAAATCCTGAACCCGAGCAGTGCCTGAAGGTAATCCTTTGTGTTTCTGAAACTGATGAGGATTGTGTTTAGTTCGACCCGGATGAATATCTTCGAGCGTTTTACTCCTCGCCCACTGAAGATACAGCGATGCGTACGGTGCTCTTCTTTCTGCCTGGCATTCTCTACTGGATTCCGGAGAAAATTCGAACAGTGCTTGATCTCGGAGCTGGTATCTTTTTTTTTTTACAAAATCGCTATTATCCAAGGATGCTACATCTCCGAGTTCTTTTTCAAAAAAAAAAAAAGCATTGAAACCAGAAACAATGGATCGATCTAAATATCCTATGTACCAATTGCCTGTATTTCATCTCTTAGCTGTAGAAAAAATCGACTTCACATGAGATCTTCTAAACCTATTGAGTTAAAAAGCGAAATTTCAGTTTTTGATAAAGCTTCACGGGCGTAAAAATTTGATGCAACTTCAGATGCACTGGTTCTAAATTTATACAAGAAGTCAAAATTGTCCACGTGAGAGGGGAAAGGTAACAAGAGGAGCAGAAATACGTCGTAAAAAAGCGAAATTTTAAACCTATTGAGTTAAAAAGCGAAATTTTATTAGACGCGATCTCAAACAGCTAGCTGATCAGAAAACAATTTTAACAGAGAAAAGAGAAAAACTAAACTGAAAAAGTTAAAAAAAGCAGTAAACTGCAACAGCATGGTCTAAGAATAATGGCATTCGGGATGAGATGGTGATTCGGAATAAATCACCGTGGAAAAACCTTCCCTTATTGCTTCTGTCAGAAAAACTGCTGTGCTGATAAATCCTTTTGAAAATGAAACGAAAGCAAAATTGTCAAGAGGTTGACCTCTGATAATGCAAAATTCACTAGTCAAAACACTGGAAAAGCTGCCCAAATGAGCGGTTTCGCGAAGCAAAATACAATTTACAGCTGTTTCTAAACACGATGGGGGAGCAAAAGAAGGGACAAAAGAAATGCCTAGGTACAGGAAAATCCCCTTTAAAATTCCAGCTTTCTAGCTTTTCTGGTTCTCGAGTTAGCAAGTTACCCACGAAAAATTTTCACAGGCCCACCTGTCTGTGGGAACCACGCATACCTGGAGGCTAATTTTGAAGTCATTAGCTAAACATAGCAGCGATTTTACCGCATAAAACATTCAAAGAAATGATGCTATTCAGGTCCCACAGTTTATGTACCAATTATATTCCGCAGACATGCCGAACAGATTTACAGCGCCGACTATGCGCAGCGCAACTGTGAAATGCTGAAAATATGGGCCGAGAATAGATCATCATTCGAATGGACCGAAATATGCAAGTGGATAAGAAGCATTGAGAATTCGAATGAATCACACTCAGAAATGGAAAAATCTGCTCGCAGTAAGCTTGCAGCCGTTCTAAGGGTCAGTCATACAAAAACAATATTTATGGATAATAACTGTCTGGGCCAGAAACACAGTAACCGATAACATAAAGCAGCAACTGGAGTCGAGAATTTGAGAATATTATTTTACAATTCCAAGGTCTGAACCTGGAAATAGCTTGCAGTCATTAAGATTTGTAAAAGATGTAAAAGAATTT